TTAGGATTAAAGTTGCTTTTAAATTATCCATATTGGATCATTTTCTCTAAACTAATCAAAGATGAAGCCAAAAACTCACAAATATGACATCATATATGCAATAATACAAATAATAACATGTGATAAATTTTAAACGAATATTTAATAAACAAACGAATCGAAGATACATCTGGTCAAATTTTAATCGTTAGCAAACTTGAATGTGTTAAATGAACTACCGAATCAAATATGACTGAATAGTTATTTGAACACTTATTGAATTATTTGTTAATTGTTTGGTTCATTTACATCCCTAGATGTAGCAATTTACATAATTTGGTGGATACTTTTAAAATATTATAGATTTGAGGGACTAATATTAAAATAATTCTTAATTTTATTATGGGGGCCACTCATTAACAATGGGATAATCAATCACTAATGTTAATTTTTTACGATGGGCACATTAGCATTGGCGACGAAACGTATACGTCGCCAATGAGTATTGGTGATGGATTCGATCCGTGGCCAATAAGTATTGGCGATGGAACGCATCCGTCGCCAATAAGTATTGGCAACGGAGCAAATCCGTCGCCAATACTCATTGGCGACGGATGCGTTCTGTCGCCAATGTTATCCCGGCGACGGGAAAACATTGGCGACAGGGTTGTTCCCATCGCCAATGTTTGTATTAGCGACGGATTCGAAATCCATCGCCAATACCCCGTCGCCAATGCCCAGTTTTTTTACTAGTGAGTAAATATAATCAACAAGTTTAGGATTTACCAAACAGGTCGTTTCTATATGATCGTTATGCCTTTTTTTGAACAACGGCAAGATGGCAACCACATTGTGCAACAAGCGAGAAGCCCCCACATATCACCCTGTGACTATTGCATAAAGCACGGAATTAAAAAATTGAGAAGGAGATGACAGTTATATGAAGGTTTATGGTGTATATCGCCTTTAGTTTCATGAAAATCCCTAGATCTATAAATAAGGGATTAGAGATAAAATCCTATAGTATTCATTAGAAGTACGAATGCCTTATCTCTAAAATAAGATATTATTCACCCATTGGATATCTATCTCATAACCATGACCAACAAATGCTTTGTGAAGTTGATACTATCGCAAACAAGTTTATCCGGAAATTTGCTTTATTCTATTTCTAATCTCAAGTACTTGACATATTTGGAAATCTCATCATGTAGGATGATTGGGAAGATACCTACTTCCATTTCGAATATCAACTAGCTTGTATATTTAGATCTTTCATTCAATAATTTTTTAGGTGAATCCCCACTTCTATCAGGAACTTGACTGGACTGTCATATATAGATTTTAGTCATAACTTTCCTTCTAGATTTACCTGTGTCCTTGCTTACTCTTCCTAAGTTGAGGTACTTGAATCTCTATAATAACCAATTATTCAGTCCATTAGAAAAGTTTTTAAACCCTTCATATATAATCGATAACATGTATCAATTTGCATAAAAACAAATTGCGAGCTCAGCCCTTGAATGGGTCGACTTGTCATCTAACGAATTCAACGGAACGATGGAGTAAGACATGCTAAGGAACCTCACTTGACCTTTCACGAAATAGATTATTAATTCAAGAAGTTAGTGAAAATTATTCTGACAGATATACTAGCTTTGAATATGTAGCCTTGGCTCCGTGCAACCTTATCAAGGTGCCCGTCTTTCTTGATACCGCAATAGCAACTTCAGATCTTTCAGATAACAAGATTGATGGTGGATTGCTAGAATGTGGATATGGAGACTTAGCGAGACGAAGAAGTTGAATCTCTCCTTCAATAAATTCACACATTTCGAATGGCTACATAATCGTTCTGTAACAACGTCACTACTTCTGTTGAATTCTGCTCAAATGCGCCTCAAAAGGTAACTTTAGGTACTTCAGCATCGTCAAGGTATTTGGACTATTCAAACAATAACATCTCATCCGTTATCCGATCTAACATTTCCTCTTATTTTCTCTTCACACTGATGTTTTCCTAAAAAAACAATAATCTCACAAGAGAAATTCTGACATCTATATGCAATGTACAAGTTCTCCAAGTCTCGATTTGTCTAGACATAGTTTAAGCCGTCTAATCCCACCACGCCTTTAATAGCAATTGTCTTCTGGTGTTGAATCTTAAAGGGAACTAGCTTCAAGAGGCCGTTCCTCCATTTTTAAATGAAGGATGCATGTTGGAGAATTTGATACCTAGTGACGACCATTTTAAAGGTCTACGATCTCCTGAACCTTGCTCAATTGTAGGTTGCTAATGATTCTAGTCCCCCAAAATAATCATATGGATAATGCTTTCCCATTTTGGTAAGGACATATGTTTAATCTTTCAATCCTTATTCTTAGAGGAAATACATTTCATGGACCAATGGACATGATGGAAAGTCATGAGGCTAACAACGCATTTTCGAAACTTCAAATATTTGACCTTTCCTCCAACCACTTGGATGGAAATTTACCTTCAAAAATTTTCAACAGCTTGAAATCCAAGAGATTATGGATCTACCACGTATGATTATGAGGTTTTAGTCATAAATATACGCAATGAATTTATCGATATCTTATACGTCTACTGATTTCTCAAGCAACAATTTTGAAGGTGGTATTCCTGAGGTGATAGGTGAACTCCAAAGCCTTTACATGTTGAACTTTTTGAATAATGCTATCATAGAAGAGACTCCTCCAACAATTAGAAACACGAGACAACTTGAACAATGAGACCTTCTACCAACTATCTATCAAGATAGATTCCTCAAGAACTTACTTTTTGGACATTCTTGTATTTTCTAAACCTTTCAAACAAGTTGATGAGATGAATTCCTCAAGGAAAATAATTTATTACCTTCTCAACTGCATCTTACTTGGAGAATGGAGAATTATGTGGGATTCCGTTATCAAAACAATGTGGGAATATTTTCCCAAACACACCAAGCATAGTGCCACTTGCAATCTCTAATTATTCATCATCGAGTATTACATATATCATTGAGCTTGTACTATTTATCGGTATGGGTCTTGGAGCGGGCATGACAGCGGTTTTTTTGTACTTCAAATCTGGGAAAATTTTAGAAAAGAAAAAAATATTATTAGTAATCAGTACCTAGATGTCCACGAGTTGTTAGCAATTCTAGTTAGTGATTGAGAAAATGATAAGATCTAATTAACTATTCATACTAAATAGAAATCGTTTTTAGGGATGATCTTGGAATTTTTTTTCATTTCACATATGCAATAGCTATCGTATAAGTAGAGTATGAGTAAAAATTGTTAGCCTTTCTAGTATGTACCTTTTAACTCGCTGTTGTGGCCCGGATTGTTAGGATGTTCTAATATGACTCCAACAACCTTCTATTCAACTCCGACCTAGATTATAAAAAAGTATCTGCATTTTAGATCTTAGTCCCTCAAATGTTCAGTAGTTTTATTTTATCCCTTAAATCTTTGAATTTCTTATTAGTCCCTCATAGGGTTTTTGCAAATTAGTTCCTCTAGTAAACTCGTGTTAGATTTTGAGGGGATGTCCCTAAATCTAACTGTTTTAGAAGAAGTTATCATTTTACCCCTTTATTAAGTTCCTTGATTTGTCTCTTAACTAGTTTAAAACAAAAAAAACCCAAATTCATTGAATCATCTCCTCTAACAGTTAGAAAGTTACTCTGACCTATTTTTGAGATTCCTAATGGTCATATCCCCTCTAAAAATCTATATAATCATCTAAATGAGGAGTAATTTGTTAATAAAGGGTGTTGGATTAGGAGCTAAACAACCAAAGGTTTGAAATTTTAATTGAAAAAACTAAAACATGACTAAGTTGCAAGACCTAATGGTATTTGAGGGAGTAATAAGCAATTCAAAGATTTGAGGGGCTACTATAGAATTATTGAAGAGGTGAAGGACTAATACCTAAAAACCCTTTTGGTCGTTATGTTTAGGTTTTTTTTTCATGATAACCACATAAGCACCCGCACCCGTGACCCCCCCTCACTTGCAGCACCCGTGACTGACCCCCCTCAAATCGCGACTTGCCCTCAAACAGTGACCCTCCCCTCTGGCGACTCTGCCGACCTCGCCTCCCCGCCGACCCCACAACAGAGCTCGCCTCCCCGCCGACCAAGCTCCGATCAAGGTTAATTTTTTTTTAATTTTGTTGTTAATTTTAATGAGGGATATGAATTGGGTAGGATTAGGGTTTTGATGAATGATATAGATTGATTAGGGTTTATGATTTTGGATATGAAATTTTACTTTTTATTTTGTGAAATATGATGAATAATGTAATATGGGAGTTAGGGCTTAGCCATTATTTGCTTTTCAGTTGAGATTAGGGGTTTAAGTTTGATTTTAAATTAAGATTAATATTTTCAGTTATAATAGATTATTTACATGTGATGTACTATTGATTTTTCAGTTTCGATGGCAAACTATATACCCATTATTTGCTTCTTTAATGGGAGCCTCGGCGTCAGAGTGAATAGTATGCCTATGTATGAGGGAGGTTCTACGAAAATGTTTATGCTATCTAAGTCATATAATTTTGATGGAATGATGAAGGAAATATACAGAGTTACTAAAATTAATAAAGTAGAGCATGCAAAATGTTAGATTAAACGCTGGGCGCTCCTGGGCGCCGGACTTGGCGCCCAGCGCTTAGACGCCTAGGCGGGCGCCTAAGCGGTTTCTGGGCGGTTTTTTTCTTCTGGGCGGTTTTTCTTTTTTTAATTGTGATACTTGAAGATAAATATATATACTCAATCAACAATACATAAATACAAAAATACCAACACAACACATATGCTATCCAAAGTATAATAGTCAATCAAAGATGCATACATACTAAATGACAAGGCATATAATATCCAATAACTAGAAGTTTATGTCCCAAAATATCAGCAAAAAGATAGTCAAACAGGAATAGTCTAGATGTAATATAATGAATTAGCAATATGCATCTAATCTAATGTCATCATCAAACATCATCATCATCAAACATCATCATCATCTATCACTGAAGTAGAAGCACTTGAAGGTCCTGCTAGCCTAGAACTCCTCCTATTCTCCGCAGCCTCAGCCGCTCCCGATATACCCTCTACCATCCTCCAAGTAAGACCTGAGCCAGGATGAACTTCTTCCTCATCATCGGAGCCTGCTCCTTCTAGGATCCATGCTCGTGCCTTACTACGATCAGTAGATAGTAGTAGGTTCTTGTTTTCTCCTCTCCTCTTCTTCTGGTTGAGCTTTGAGTTAAACTTCACATAGACTAGTTCCTCTAACCTCTTCGATTCCAATCTATTCCTCTTCTTCGTATGAATCTTCAAAAGTAAAGGACACAAATTAGAAAACACAACTAAGAAGAATTTCATATTTTTCATAAGTTTAGAAATTAGTTTACCCCCTCAAATGTGCTCCAATTCCTTTCACAACCAGAAGAGCTGCTTGTCAAGTTGAGCAGTTTCATAGCCATATTTTGCATGAAGGGACAATCACCACCATGCAAATACCACCAATTAGCTACAAAAAATAATATATTATTAGTTGATTCACTACCACAATGGCACAATAGATAACTTATAAGTCATATATGATTCAATTTCTAAAATTATTTTACCTGGGTTCAAGTCTGATTTCTCTCTAGCCTTCACCGCTCCAATCCTAGCAAATGAACCCTTTCCTTCTCTGTATCTCTCCAACTCTTGAGTATGAATTTCAACTTGTTGCTCTACATCAGGATAGAACAACTCCACCACATCTAGAAATCCATCTTTCGCCCTTTTGCAATTCTTCACTACATCATCCCTATAGAAATAGTAAGGGTTGAGGTAGTAAGAAGCCATATGCAAGGGAGAAAAGAGCCGATCCTTGGACTTCCCATCTATAATATCAATCACGGGCTTGAAATCCTTCTCCTTATTCTTGAAAACTTGAATGATCTCCTTCTTCATATCTTCAAGCATCCCCACCACAAATCCCATTGAGGGTTTGTAGTCACTATCGACTACCCTCAACAATCGAAAAATAGGAGCATACACCTTCAAGATCTTGGCCACCGCTGTCCACCAACTATCACTCATAGCAATCGCCTCCACCTTAGCGCCTTTAGCGGTCTTTGCAAGCTTGCATCTCACCCATGCTTCATCGGAAAACATAAATCTCAACTTCCCTTTCTTCTCAAGAAGACTCCGCAGAGTCAAAAATGTAGTGGCGAAACGAGTAACTCCAGGTCTCACAATGTCCCTTTTGTCACAAATGCGACGCATCATAGACAAAGTCTTGTGATGACTATAGATAAAGATGGTGAGGGTCCTCGCCTTCTCAATTGCTCCTTTGAATAAACTCAACTTCCCGATGCTTTCAAGCATCAGGTCAACAGTGTGTGCTGCACAACTAGTCCAAAAAATCCTCGGCCTCCTCCTATATAAAAGCTCCTTCGCGGCCATATTTGCAGCTGCATTATCCGTGACAACCTGAATGACTTTATCAGCTCCAATCTGCTCAATAGCCGTATTAACCCACTCAAATATATATTGTCCTGTATGTGCTTCCTCTTTGGTTTCAATTGACTTATGAAAAGTTGTCCCCAATCTGCAGTGGATGCAAAGATTCATTACCGACCGCATCTTTCTGTCCGACCAAGCATCAGTCATAATGGAACATCCAGTCTTGCCCCACTCCTCCTCATGCGTCTTTAAGGAGACTTTTGTTCTCTCAACTGCTCTTCGCAATAAGGGCTCCCTCAACATGTACATGCTGGGAGGCCTGTAGCTCGGTCCATAGTCTCCAATAGCCATGCATGCCTTCGTAAAAGAATCCGTGGAGATGGCATGAAAGGGGATGGCATTTTCATATGCCCAAGTAGCCAACTGATCATGCACCCAATCTCTCTTCTCCTTCAGGAAAGAATCCTTCACTCCTGTCTGCTTCATTTTCCCTTTCAACCTTTTCGCTAGCTCTGGATCATTAGCGGTGTAAGCATCCATCGGCCCAACAGTAGGCTCTCTAGACCTCTTTGAAGACCCATCGCCTATGGAAGGAGAGATGATTTCTTCTTCATCTTTTTCTTCATCACACGGCCTCGTCGTATGAAGTTCTTCTTCTAAGTCTATAGTGTGCCTCTCCTTAACTTGCTTCTTCTTCGAATTAGCATCAATGACTTCTTTCACCCTCTGCTTATCTTTTTCACTAATCTTCAAACATGGTTTGGTGTCCCCCCTCAACCCTGCAAGATGCTTCTTAAATCGATGGATCCCCGCATTCACCTTGTGCCCACATAGTTTGCATTGCACCATATTCAAATTTTTTGGGTCCGGACAAAATCCAAACTCCCAACCAATGTCTCTTGAGTTCCTTCTATCTTTCACGGGAGGTACGGGGATATTGGTAGAACCCGTAGACTCCTTCGCTGGAACACCCGGCATTCTGAAATAAATGAACAAACAAATCATTCATATACTTAAAATTAAACTTAAACAATCAAACAGTTAAACTTAAAATTAAACTTAAACAATTAAACTTAAATAATAAATACAGTTAAACATATTCAATTTGTAATTCTTAAAACAGAATCTCAAAACAAGAAATATATAAACTCTCACATGTGTAATTTCCCTTACTGTTAACTTATTTTTGTAGGTCAAAAACTGCATTTTCATTCGTTATTGTCGCAACTTCAAAAACCGCAACTAATTATTGTTCTATTTTGTAGGTCAAAAACTGCAACTTCATTCGTTATTTGCTGCAAATCCAAAAGTATGGAGCATGAATATTATAGTTTCAGCACTCAACTCAATACAGATACACAATTATAGCATATATAGTTGTAAGCTTTGAACAAATGCAGAGAATGAACATGACAAAGATAAATGTAAGGAGCATAAGTCTGTTGTGGACCGTGGTGATGCATATTCTGTTGTACCGCACTCAGATACTTTTTCATTTGAAATAGGAAAATTAAACTTAAACAATTAAACAACTAAACTTAAACAATTAAACTAAATATGATATAAATATACTAAGTTAACATGTAATAAATGCATATGAGTATATGACAGTCATAAGAGGCTAGGAGCAGTTAATTTCCTTGAGCAATGCCGATCAAACTAAATATGATATAAATATACTAAGTTAATTTCCTTGAAACATCAACGGATTAAACTTACTATCTCTCTTTAAACTTATTATCCTCACAAGTAATAAGAATCTATCAAACCTGAACCAATCAACACAGATTTTGCCTTTTTAAGACTTGAACCCAATAAAAATTATCAACACAGTTACACAAGCCTACAATATCAAATTAATGAGAACCCAAAACTTGAAGACGAGCTCGGAATAAAAAAAAAGGAAATTGAAATCGAAATAAAGAGGATTAGGGTTTTACGACGCGAACTGTCGGCTGAAGACTGAAGTCGAAATGTCGAAGACGAAGACGAGCTCGGTTGGAGACGAAGACGAGCTCGGTCGGTCGGAAGTCGTCGAGTCGAAGGCGAGCTCGGTCCGAAGTCGTCAAGTCGAAGACGAGCTCGGCAGGTGAGATCGAAGACGAACTCGGTCGGAAGTCGTCGACGTCGAGTCGAAGACGAAGACGAGTCGAAGACGAGTCCGAAGTCGGTTGGAGACGAAGGTGAGATCGAAGATTAGGGTTTTTATTTTTGAGTTTGGGTTTTGGGTATTGGGTATCGGGTTTTGGGTTTTGGGTTAGGCTTTTTTTTTTAGGTTCGGGTTTTTGGGAGCGCGATAAATGAGAGTAGAACTATTGCCGTGGAGATTACCGACGATGAGGAATTGAATGACATGAAACAATTAGTTGAGAAGAAAGTGTCAATTCAGTTGTTCATTGAGAAGTATTCGATTCACGAATTTGCCCAAGTTTCACGACCTCAAGGAGAGTTTTCTCGGATGCTTGACTTAGACAATGAGTCGAGTGGTTTTATGACATCTCCAAGTCAAGAGTCGTGGTTTCAACTACAACATTTAAGTGGGCATTCTCTTGGTGGTTACCACTCCTCGAGGACTTGGACACATGTGGTGCGTTATCGTGGGGTAGTGCCGTTTTGACGTACCTATATAGAGAGATGTCCAAAGTGGCATTCATGAAAAACAATGACTTAAAAGGGTGTCTAAGCTTACTACAAGTATGGTCATAGGAGAGACTTCATTTGAAGCCGAGACTATGCGTGAATTTACAATTAGATGGACAAATTCCACTGGGATGCAGGTATTATATTTTTTAATGTAGCAAATATAATTGTGATTATCATTGTGATGCTAAATTTTGAAAACAACACAGATGGAATATCCAAAAATGTTATGATGAGACACCGACTAGACAATTAGATTTCTACCGAAATGAGCTTGACCATATGAAAATTTTTCAGGTATCATTTCTAACCGACTAGACAATTAGATTTCTACCGAAATGAGCTTGACCATATGAAAATTTTTCAGGTATCATTTCTATAAAAATGAGCTTTTTCTTCTATATATCAACTTTAATTTTAATGATATGCAACAATTATATGAAATACTTTGTAGATGGAATGGGAGCTCTACACCTAATTTCTCAATCATCTATCCCCCGATATGCACAGAATACCCAGTTACATGGAGAGCCATAGTTCCTCTAATATGTTTCGAGATAGTAGAAATGCATGTACCGGACCGCGTGCTTCGACAATTTGGTCTTGCACAATATGTTCCAGAATTTGTTGAAAAAATGGGGAGAGGAAGGCAAAGAAAGGAGGCCAACAAAAGGACTGGGCAGCTGAGCATCAAAATTATATACACAGATGGAATGATAGACATTTTTGTATTATTGAGCAAATTGACCCAACTCCCCGGGAATCAGATTACTACACTTTGTATTGGGGGATAACCCGAAGATGGATACTCCATACGACCACAACACCAGTTGAGTTGCAAAAAGGATATGTGCCCCGGGTTATAGATGAGAGAGAATTAGTAAGTATTTCAGATTTTGATTTAAGTCCATTTTTATTGATATCTCAATATTGCTAACATGTGTTTTTTGAAAAATTTGCAGGTATCAGCAATAAATGATGTTCAAACCATTGCAAATCGTGGCATGGAATTGGCTTGAGTAGGTAATATAGAAGTAAATATCAAATTTACATTCTGTAATTTAAATTTTAAAGTAATTTTTCTATTTCGAATTTTTGTAATTATCTCTCGCAGGTACATATCCCGAAGCACAGGATCATGTATCAATATATCAGTCAATAATGTGGAGGCTTCACCAAGCCTTACACCGAACTCACGAAGATCTTCATGATGGACGAGAGGTAACGCAATTCGTATACACACGTCAACCATGACAAAATCAAGGACGACGCAGAAACGACAATGAAGCTGAACCTTCCCAACGTGTTGACGATGGAGCTGGACCGTCACAACGACAAACGCAACTGGATCACGAACTCGTCGAAGATCGGGGTGGAGGAGGACGAAGACAAAGGAGGAGGATGAGAGTTCTTGGATGTATGTAAACTAATCATTATTGTTATATACATTACTAACATATTTTGGTATGTACATTACAAACCTATTTCAGGATGTGAGATGGTTTGGGATTTGTAGCCAAGACTGTGGTGTGATTTGTTGGATTTGTAAATGAGTTTGTGGTGTGATTTATGATTTTAGATTTGTAAATGAGTTTATGGTGTTATATAAGTTGCATTTAAGTTTATACAGGGAATTGACAGGAAATGCAACAGAAAACGTGCACAGGATATGCACGGGACTACTAGTCCCGTGCATTTCGTTTTCTGTCTACGAAAAGCACGGGATGCTAGTCCCGTGCACTTTGTTTTCAGTTCAAAAATGTCTCTGCTTAAAAGTCGGGACTGATAGTCCCGACTTTTAAACAGACACTTTGTTTTCAGTTCAAAAATGTCTCTGCTTAAAAGTCGGGACTGATAGTCCCGACTTTTAAACAGACAGTTTTGAAAAGAAAACAAAATGCACGGGACGGCTAATCCCGTGCAATTCGAAAAACACTTCACCAGCAAAACCGACCCGTTTCAATGAAAAGGGTCGGTTTTGCTGATTTTTGTTAGAAAATGTCAATTTTGCTGAATAAATTTTAAAAATGGGTGTTTTCAAAAATTTGTCCTTCCACAAATCATTAAAAATACTTTTAGATTCCAATTTCTTAAGCTATTTCAAAATTAGTCCCTCAAGTCATGAACTTGCTATTACTTCCGCTATTTCTAAAGTTACTTTGAAGTTAGTTACAATCAATAGTAGAGATAATAACTAAAAGTGCCAATTTAAACAGCTTATGAGAATATGACAGCAATTTTAATGATTTAATGCATAATTTCAAAATATAAATTACACAAGGCACTAATATGGAAAAAAGAACCCTTTTCTTACTTGTTTCCGGAGACTTTGGTTCCGCTCACCGCCGGTATGACTCCAAACCCCGTCCCCAAAACTCAAACCTACCCTCTCTTTTCACGGGTCACGTTACCGTCCGGTGCCTACAGATGCTTTCGACTGACTACGACTCCCCCTCTCTCCCAAAATCCCCAGTTCTCTATTTCACCCCTAAACCCTAACCCTAACCCTAGATCATGCCCCTCGTCGGCGGCGGCCGAGAGGACTGCTGGAGCGAGGGCGGCACCACCTGCCTCGTCGACGCGTGGGGCGACCGCTACCTGTTAGACCCTAGAGGGCGGGTGAATAGGGTCTTATGCTAATCTAATCCGATTTTATGCCAATAAAAACTTATTAATAAATATCGTAGCAAGTATAATATGTGACAAGATATATAAGCAAGGATATATAAATAACACAAGGGTGAAACAAACAAATGTAAACAATATAGTGGACAAACTAAATAATGTGACAATGGTGATATGAGCAATGAGCACAAATAATAATGAACGCCAATGCAAACTCAAACACAATCAAATGATCACGGAGTTCGGACCTTCCGTCCTACGTCTTCGCTCCCCACTACCGGGGAGAAATCCACTATCACATCGGGTTTTCAACGTTCACCCGAAAACTTTTACACCTCACAATATCGGTTTTCAAAGCTCACTGATCAACGTTCACAATCACACTCATGCAATCCACTCTACACCCTCTAAGTGTTGGTCTCTAGCCCGTCTCTCCCTCAAGTGCTCGGAATTACGACCTAACTCTAGGCTTTACTACCGACGCCACTCCTCTTGGAACAACCCCGTCTCTCACCACACACTCATCTCGGTGTACAAGTGTATTACAAAGTGTATCCTCACAATTAGGCTCAATATAACAAATGTTTGTTCTCTACTATGGATGAGAACACAATGAAGGCTCACACTCTAAGTCACACAAACCCACAACCCAAATTATACAATGTATGAAAATACAATAAGCTCAATGGTTGTGTGTGTAAGCAAAGAGTAAA